GGACCCCTCCCGCTCTGTCCTTTCAGTCTGCTGCCAGCGATCCGGACAGTGCCTGAAGCCCAAGAGCAGCCGGTGACCTGCCAGCTGCAGGGGGAGGCAGGGACATCAAGCCAATAAGACCTGCGCCGAGCACTGGGAACCAAACGTGTCAGCTTCCTCGATGAGCAACAGGGGGCTGAAAAAGACCAGCATGAGGGTGCGGCGCGATTACTGCAGGCAGCCAAGGCCTCACCCCATCACATGTCCTTGAGGCCAAGACCGCCTTCCAGAAGAGCTTCCCAAGCTTCCTCAAGGGCTGAGTCTGCGCAGCCTCAAGGCAGACCATCCAGGCTCCCTCTGGCATGCGACTCCGTGAAACACTTCAGGAAGAGGGCAAGGAAGATCATGCGAGTGCAGAAAGCACTCAAGCAGATGGCACCACCACCACTGCGTGGTGAGTCCAGCCTGCCTGAGGAGTCTACCGTCAAGCGACCTGGATCGCTGCCACCCATCAAAGAAGAAATGGGGTCTCCCGAGGGTCAGCCTCCGAGGACCAAAACCCCACCCCGCAGGAAGGACACACCCTACCCACACTGGTTCAGGCGTGGGGTGCACACGACAGACAGACTGGAGGCTGCAAGACAGAGGCATGAATCCCATCCGCATCACCGCTCATAGTAAACCAGGCTGCCCAGGGCCCCATCCAACCTGGCCTTGAACACCTCCAGGGACGGGGCATCCACAGCCTCTCTGGGCATCCGGTTCCACCATCTCACCACTCTCTCTGTAAACAACAGTCCAACCTGACATCCCATCTTCAACTCAACACCACTTCCTCTTGGCCTGACCTTAGCTACACCATCAAAGAGTTGACTCCCCTCCTGTTTGGAGGCTCCCTTCATGGACTGGAAGGCTGCAATGAGGTCACCGCGCAGCTTTCCCTTCTCCAGGCCAAACAAGGAGATCTAGAGGGAAATGTAGAGGGGCAAAACCATCAATAAAGCCTCCTCCTTTAAACATCTCCAGAATGCCTGTGACGGTGTCACTGCGTCTTTTTATGCCGGCTCTTTTTATGCCGCTGGAGGGAGAAAGAATTGTGAGAGGGCATCAGAGCGTCGCACGATGCTTTACTTGGTGCCAAAGGAAATCCAGCGCCTCTCTGCACTTATCTGGATCACAAGCTTATCGGCTCTTGACCTGCCACAGTTCCCCTGCTCATGCCAGCCAGCTTTTGGCCTGGCGGAGCCCCCCAGCAGGCCAGGAGACTTCTGGCCTGGCAGGACCTCAAGGGCCATCCGGCTTGAAACCTCACAGGGCCCTCCTGGCCAGCCGGATGGCCATCATTTGGCCTGGCAGCGCCCACTGGGCCAGCTGGCCAGCCTTTGGCCCGGCAGGGCCCTCCCAAGCTGCTGGCTAGCTGTTGGCCATGCTGGGACCCTGGCTTTTGGCCTAGTATGACCTCCCGGCCAGCTGGGAGACTTCTGCATGGCAGGGCTACCCGTGACAGTCAGCCTGACATCTTTTGACCCAGCAGGGCCCCCCTGTCCGGCCAGCTGGTTTTTTGCAAGCAGGGACCCACACACCAGCCGGCCTGCTGCCTTCTGGCTTGGCGGGGTCCCCCCGGCTGGCTGGGAATCTTCTGGCCTGGCAAAGCTAGACGGGTCAGTTGGCAGGACAGCTTTTGGCCAGGCACAGCTCCCCACTTTGGCTGACCAGCCAGACATTGGCCTGGCAGGGCACCCCCGGCCAGCCGGGATACTGCTGCCCAGGCAGGATCACCCAGGCCAGCTGGCAACCCAACTATGAACCCTGCAGGGTGCCCTGCCCAGCCAGCAGGCTTTAACCCAGCATTCCCTCCCCTCCCCCCACTCTTTTTCCCCCCCCTACAGCCCCTCAAGCCCCATTCAGCCTTCAGGCCCTGTGCCCTCCCTCCCCCTCATTCCAGGGTATTTTACTGCCTTCCCCTCACCCCCTCCACGGGTGGCCCACAACCCCCTGAGTCCCTCAGTCTGACCCCGGGGTTACCCTCCCCCTCATCCCCCACCTCCAACTCCCCCATTCTCAGTGATGGAGTCCTCTTCCACCCATCCCCTCATTTCCTCCGTCAGTGCCTGCCCCTAGTGCCCATTCTGATTCCCAGGGTCCCCTGTCTGACACCCTCCCCCCTGTTCCTTCCTCGGTCCCCCACCCCCATCCCTTGTGTCCCCTTTCCTGCCCCCCTACAAGTCTTCCCATTTTGTCCCCTACACTCATCTCCCCCCCAGTCCCCTCTGACACCCAGAATTCCCCATCCCCCCAAGTACCCCTGCTCCAATTCCCCCATTCTGATCTGTAGAATCTCCTACCATCCCCCACTCCTCTCAGTTTGCCCCCAGTGTCCCGTCTTCCCTTACTTCTCCCCCTCCTGACTCCCTTTTCTGACCCCTAGAGTCCCTTGTACCCCCCATGCCCTCCTTTTACGTCTGGCTCAAGTTACTGCTGAGCCTTTTTGATTTCTCGGTGACACAATTGACAAAGTGTGAGAGTCCAAACCACTGATGGGAGAGCTGTGATCATGTTACAGCAGATGGTGAGAGGGGTGGCCAGACCCCCAGACTCACATGAGCACCCCCTGGACACCCAAAGACCCCTCTAGGACATCCACAGACCCTTCTGGATGACTCCAGGACCACTCAGACCCACATGAGGACTCCCTGGATCCTACCAGACCCTACTGGGACATCCCCACATCAGCCTGGGGCCTCCTCAGAGCTCCTGGGCCCACAGTGGGAACTTCCAGATCCTTCCAGGGTGCCACGGGACCAACTTGGGGGCTCCCGGGACACCCCAAGACCCCTCTGGGACATCTCCAGACTCTTCTGCATGAGTCCAGAACCCCCTGGCTGCCACTGAATGTCTGTACGATGTCTCATGCAGATCCTTCTGCATGATTCTAAGGGGGGATGAGGGGAGTTGTGGGGGGAGAAAGGGTTCAGTAGGGCTTCTGTGGGCTGGAAAGGGGGTTGTGTGGAATCTACGGGGGAAGGTGTGAGTGGGACTTCTGTGGGGTGGAAAGTAAGTCTGGTGATGGCGGGAGGGGTGGAAGGGGAAAATGGGGAGTTGTGAAGAGCTTCTGTGGGGTGTAAAGGGGGTCTGGGGGCAGAGAGTGGGGGGGGCTGTAGGGGGGGAGGAGAAAAGGAGAGTGAGGCTTCCATGAGTGGAAAAGGGGTCTGGGGGATGGAGGGAGGGGGGGGGGGAGGGCTGGTATGGGACATAAAGGGGGTCCAAGTGGGGAATACTGGGGATCAAAATGGGGGAGCGGACTCCAGAAGTCGGGAATCCAGTTACTGCAGCTGGATTCTGTCACTCCAGAAGAGCCACTAGCAGAGCAGAGGAAGATGGCTGCAGCAGGTCACGCACCTGGCCCAACATTCCGGCAGCTAGACTGGCCAGTAATGAACACCCGGCAACCCCTCTGCGCTTCAGAGTGAAAACAAAAGCAGGCAGCAGGGCGCATCTAAAGCATCAACTTCTCCTTACTGAAATGTCTCTGCAGCAGTTAATTCCTCTTCGTATCTGAAGAAGAGCAGAAAGAGAGACATGTAAATTAGATATACTAATTCCATGTTCTCACAGAACCAGTTCGATGTCTAGACATACACAGTGCAGGAGCCCAACCACTAACATAGAGCTCATTTAGCAAGCTTAACTGAGGAGGCTGACAACACATGTCCAAATTTCATGTAAGACTGATGCTCAAAACTGTTAGATCTAGAAAAACAAATGCTTTCAAAGACTTGACTCAAATAGCAATAGAGATTGGCATTATCAATCTTTCTGTATACTGACTGCAAACAGTAAACACAATCTAGAGCATACAATGGCTTTCAACTAAATCCCTTTCTTTCAACTGAATATTTATGAAACAGAAAAAGATCGCCAAGGAATTACATTGATGTTTCTCCTGCTTCTTTGTATCTGCTAAATAATGATTGCCAATGTACTGCCAACAAATCTTTCACCCTTCAATCCCTGTGTCTAACATGCTATTAAAATGGGTTACATAAGGTCTGTGAAATGAAAAAAATACGCTGCCGAAACCACGAAAGGAAAAGCACTCCTGTTGGAAAAGCACGTTTCCCATTGATACGGAATATCTGGCAGATGGAACCACACATTGTGTAGTTTTAAACAAAGCTACAAAGCAGCCCCACGAATGCCTCCACAGGAATTCAGAAATTCTCTGCACTCTTCTCATATTTGACCACAACATTAAGGAGACGCGTCAGACAAACGCACACGGATCAGTGAGGAACGCCTCCGTGCCATCACTGCTTGAGCTGGAGAACGCACGTCGGGAGGTCACTGAGTGCTGCCAACAGACCTCAAACTGCAGCAGTTCTGCCCTTCCATCTCCTGTGTGCTGCTGCTCTCCACTGCGCCCATTGCCTCTCACTGGGGATACTGAATACGTGCATTTGAAGGTAACTGTTACTGTATTAGTTTTATTATACTAGCCTCATTTTCTAGTCTTCCTGCAGTGTCAGTTTACAAGATCTCTGCTCAGTGCTCTCTGAGAAACAGCTGGTACTTTGTTACCTGTCTTCCACATACTAGTCAAAGGTTTGAGCCAGAAACAAACTCCACAGCACTCCAAGTGTCAATCTGAATGCAAAGTATCTGTAATCTGTAAGAGTTCCAAGTTCTAACAAAATACCCTTAGTCTTGCAAGAATAAATGGTGCCTTGTTTCTCTCATACACCCTACTCTCATCCAGTGTGATTCTGGGCCAGGCCTGAACAGCAACTCTTAGGGCTAGACACTAACCAACCTTTAATAAAGCCCACAAATCCCTTCTAAAAATTGACCAAAGAGTCTTGACAGATGCCCACTTTCCCAGTTCACGCCTTGCATGTGCTCATTTCCCCACACACTGATTCTTCATAAAGGACTGCACTTCTTTGGAACCTCACTGGATCAGACCCTGCCCTCCCTTAGAGGAAAGAACGCACTTCACTGGCACAAATATCCACGTCTATTTCAGAGCTGCAGTCAAAGAGATTGCTAACCAGAACTCTAGGCAGCACTGCAATATAACCCTCACATTCCTACAACACAAAGAAGCCACTCCTTGCCAACAGTTCATTTGATTCTCCAATCCCCCTTTCTCCACTTAAGCTGTGACAGCCAATGATGAATCCCACCCCTCCTTTAAGAGGGAGTCACATAAACTGAGCGCTCTGCTCGATGTGCCTTCTGTCACACTGCTCCTGTGCAGCACAGCGCTGTAGGCGCACGCAGGGCTGCACGCAGGGCTGCCGTGCCTCGAGTTCCCCATCAAGCTCTACTCAGGTGAATCCTTGGGAAGTGTTAACGTGTTCAGCTTCAAGAAAACCAGCAAAGTCAAATCAGACTGCTCTTCTTGTCACAGGTTCAGACTGTGAAGCAGCAAGGTATCAGCAAATAACTGAAATTCCTAACAAGCAAAACAAAACTCCTGATTATTTTGAAGCTGAACGTTAGCCAATTTTCTGCAATTATTCTCCCCAAATTCACTTAGCGTTTCTGAAGAAAGCACTTCTTTACATCAGCACTTTACATCAGTGTCACACAAGCAGGGAACAAGAAGGAAATCTTTGGCTTGATTTTCTGTTAAGGTGCACCTTCAGGCTTTCCTGTCCCCTGTGTAAGCAAGCAGCTCTTTATCATCTCAGCTAAAGGTGTAAACAGGCATTCCACCCAAAGACTGCTCCAGACAGGCAGGCCATGCAGAGACTTTAAGCGTTACTTAACTGAAGCCAGACTGACCAGTTTAGAATATAGCAGTCCAACAGGGCAAATGAACAGTGGAACAAGGCATTTCGAGGGAGAGGGGGCACAGATTATTTAATTCTCACTCTTTGGCACACAGGACAGAGTCAGTTTCTTGTATTTTTCCATTACAGCAGCTGTTTTTAATCTTGTGGCTTAACTAATACAAGGGCTCCCTCCTCAAATCACTCCTGCCACCGCAACAACAACAAACATTTGAGAAGAACTTTAAGAAGCACTTTAAGAAACAGTGTGAGAAAAGTAGATAGGAAAATCCTGGATAAAAACAAGGAGAGCAGCCCACGTACAGTCCTATCCACAGCTGCCTGAGGCAAGCAGTCCATTTTTGTTGGCCACAGCACAAAGACTGAAAACTGATGGTAAAAACAAACAAAAACCTGCAGCCAGAATAGAAAAAATTCTGCTCAAATATAAGCAAAAATTCTCTTACTTTTTATACTTAATGTTTCCTGCTGACCCCATGCTGCGCATCAGACTAGAAGGGAAAGTCACTTTTGAGCAGCTCTACAAGCACGACGACTGCTTCAGCAAGCAGAGCTCAGCTGATGTTATGCAGAAATGTAAGCCAGTGTAATTCTTGGCAGGTTGTCACTGCACTCTGGGATTTGTTTCGTCAGTGAAAGGAAGCTCAGCCAAGACCTCCAACCATCAGCCAGCACAACAAGGAGACACCTTCAGTAACACGGAACAGAGCGGAGCAGTGACGGCGTGCAAACATCAGCAGATGTGGCCCAGCAGAGCTGCCATCAGCCATCCTTGCTCACTGTCACCATCCATGCACCCTGCACCTCCTGCACGCTACTGACTGGACACAGCTGAAAGCTCTACAGCAGAAACGGAGCACTGAGTGTCGGCAGCTGGAACAACCATGCACTGAGCATTTCCTGAGTTCCACATCACAGCATTTTCATTTGCCATAGTCTTTCATGTATGACTTCCACAGCACGTGTGACAGAGCATTAGACAATCTGGATAAGTACCAGCACACTGAAGACAAAAGCGTAAGCATTTCCAAAATAACTCATTTTAATTCTACCCACAAATGAGTAGCATACATCCTTGTTCTCCAGTGACTACAAAGGAAGTTTATCCACCTGTGGTTTTATCTTACATCTGCCACAGTTAATTCTAATATTTCAATATAAAAGCTCAAAGCTGTTTTGAGCTTAGATTTCAAGGCACTTTCCAAACACGATCTACTAAAGAAAGACGTGAAAAATGCTCTTTCCTTTTTGCTTTGTTCTGAACATTGTTTCATTCATCCTATCCACCTGAGAATTAGTAAGCACAAAATTTTAATGCTTGTCTTATTAGAAGAACAAACAATTCTTCAGAACAACTACCAGACCCAGCAGCTACTTGAGATTATCTCACGGAAGAAACCCAAGAAAAACGAGGGAAATGCAGTAAGATGCTACGTGCAGTCTGCTGGAATGTCTTCAATCCTGCTAGACTGACCGTGCTTTGTAACACGAAGCTCTGTTAAGGACTATAAGGACATGCTCTGAGCTCAAATCCCGAACTCTCAGAGAGTACTGTGATAGAATTTTGGCTGCTCACATCCCATGCATCTGGCAAGCAAAATCCTATCAGCTGGCAAAGAACACTGGACCAGAAGGAAACAACCACACTGACCTGCCACACATACATGCCAAGTAAAAGTAGTAAGAGAAGAAGGAAAGAACTCAAAGTCTTTCTGCCATGTGGCTTCACGTAAATGGGCAGCAAGCATAAATAAATTGTATTTTCTTAAAGAACCTCATCACACCACTTAAAGCAACAGACCTGACAGTGTTTTTCAAAAGGTTGACTTACTTTTCACAGTACCTAACAACAATAACCTGACACACACACAGTTTAAAACCTCAACTTGATTGTAAGCGTAGGCTGCTGTCCGAATTCTTGCCATGCGATTTAAAATTCCAACAAAATCTCCAGCAATCTGCAAAGACACAAACAGGAAAAATAGCAGGGCACAACCATGAGCAACAGCTGATGTACAGCTCACGTCTACAGACATCTCTATGTGAGAGGAAATGTACAAATACGGCCCTGTCCTTCAGGAAGCGCCCTTCTGAACGACAACACTTCTGCCTCAGCAGGAACGGGAACCACTGAGAACCCAGCAGCACCACACAGCCCCTGCTGACTGTAGGGAAGAAATAAAGGGGGTGCTGTGCTTCAACCAGAATATTCCTATTTCTGAATTGTGAGGAAGAAATTCCCAAAGTACTGAAAAGAGAGATGAATACAGCTTCCAATTTTCTTCAGTTCTCTCTTTGGTGCAACATGCAGTGGACTCCTCTGCAAGCCTCATTACTCCTTGTGGAGCAAGGAGACACACTGCTGGGATTATGCAGTGATGTCACCATTCAGCCCCAGTATCACACATTCTTTTCCTTTGGCAAGTTTACAGGAGCGCTGGAGTTATGAATAACTTGCATGAAGTTGAATAATTGAAAACAATGCTCAACATAAAGATTGCAGGGCCACACACTCTCTCTTGCAAGCAGAATGGAGCACTGCAGATCTGTAAACCCACACGCTAGCACTTCTGAAAATGATGAGACAGTTTTAATACCACCGAGCACAAAAGCAAGAGTAAACAGAAATTTATTCACTTAGGCAAGAAATTAGGAGCCAGAGCTCTTTGACTTTGGAGGAAGATGCTACACTCGTTACAGACACTCCTCTTCAACAGACTCAAACTGAGCAGAATGCAGGAAAATAGCACAGGATTTTTCACACCGCAGCTTTGGTGATACTGTAAAGCTCTCACCTTGGGGTCCAATAAAAAAATGTGGAGCACAGAGGACACATGACTCTTTGAAATTTGAGTATGTTCAGTGACCAAGGGACATGAAGAGACAGCTCTGAAGGGATCTGAACATCATCGGATGGACAGAAGGAAAAAGAAACGGAGACAGAAGGAATAAGAGTGATAGCAGGGAAATGGAGTGAGCAGAAGGGAAGAGTGAGGGAACAAGAAACAGCTCTGAATAGCTGTCAGAGGGAACAGCAGAGAGCAGGAGAGGAGGAAAAGGGGAGGAAAAGAGAATGTGCATGGAGAGAACTGCATGTACCAGGGAGGGGGGCTGTGGAAGTGAGAGAGAGGAGAGAGAAGCCTGTGCAATGGCAGGAGGGGGAGAGGCAGTATGGAGAGATAGCGAGAGAGAAAAGAGAGGACATAGGGGAAATAGCAGAGGGGGAGATAGGAGAGCAGAGAAAAGAGAAAGAGGAAAGAAAAAGGAAAGAAGCACGGCGGGCAGAGGAGTGTGGAGAGGGACAAAGGGAAGAGCATGAAGGAGGGATGGATTGGGAGAGTGAGTGGGAAGGGAGAGAAATGATTGTGAGGGAGCGAAGAGACAAAGGTGGAGAGCAGAAAGAAGCAAGGGAAAGGCAAGCAAGGAGCAAAGAAGGAAAGGGGAAGGCAGGCATGAAGCAAGAAGTGCAGGGAAGGAGAAAAGGGACAGAAGGCAAACAAGAGGACATAGGAAAATATGAGGAAAAAGAGAAAAGATGCAGAAAGAATGAATGAGCAAGGTAAAAAAAAATAGAGAAGAGTAAGCAAGAAAAGAAGTCTGGAAAGGAGCACTGACAGCACTGAGGCAAAGACCAAAACAGAAGCAGACTAAAGAAAGCAATGTGTGGCTGAGAGGGGGAAAAAGCAAATAGTGTCAGGCACGTGGAAATAAAAGCAAAGGCAAGACAGCAAGCAAACAAGAAATGAGAGGGAGATGGGAACAGCACGCATAGACATGAGTGGCAGAAAGTGAGGTAAGGGAAGAAGGCAAAAGCAAAAAGGCCAAGGGAAAAGACCGAGCAAGAGGTAAAGAGACACAGTAGGACAAATTCAACACGACAGGAAAGGAGGAACAAGAGGGGAGACAGATTAAGAGCATGAATGGTGGAAACTGAGGGGAAAGAAGAGCAAAAAGAACAGGGGGCAGAAGGCAGTGGTAGGGACAGCGAGGAAGGGATGAGAAAGGACAGGAAAGAAGGGAAGTGAGTCCAGGAAAGGATGATTAGGAGAGACAGCGATGGGGAGGGAAACACAGCAAGGGGTCAATAGGAGGAATAATAGCAAGAGCATGGAAAAAGCAGGGAACGGGAAAGAGCACAAGTGAGCAGGGGATCATGGCAGAGAGAATGAATGGCTAAGAGAGTGTGAGGCAAAGGAAAAGCAAATGCATAAGCAAAAGCATGCAAGAGAGGGAAAGAGCTAGTAGGGAAAAAGAGGGAAACAGCTAGTAGAGGGAGAAAGAAGTGCATGCAAGTAGAAGAGAAGCCCCAGAACTCAAGAAAGAAGCAGAGAGAAAAAGGGACAACTGAGAAACCTGTAAGAGAGAGAGAACAAGGTGGTGTGAAAAAGCATGCAAGAGAAGGGAAATGTACATGCAAGGTCCTGAGAGAAAAAGCTTAACAGTGAGGGTAGGCTGGCTCTGGCTGGGGTGGAGTGAACTCCTCATAGCTCGTACGCTGTTTTGAATTTATGACTAAAAAGCATTGATATTATGTCAGTGTTGTAACTCTTGTTCAGAGGTTGCACAACATCAGGTTTCCTATGTTTCACATGCTGCCCCTCAGCCAGGGACTGCAGGAGTGCACAAGAAGTTGGGGAAGGCAAAGCCAGAACAGCCGGCCCAGACTGACCAAAGGAACATTCTGTGCTGTATGACACACTCAGCAGTAAAAGCTGAAAGGGAAGAAGTGGTCCTGCTTAGGGAAAGCTCTAGAGAGCAAGAGATGGCATGTAAGCACATGAGAAAAGGGGAGGGCCCCAAAGCAAGACAAATGGAAAGAACATGACAGAGAGAAAGGAAAGGAGCCTGAAAGAGAAAGGGACTGTGTGTGCATGACAGAGAGAAAAAGATTTCCTTCTTGTTCCTTCTAAGAGAAGGAGGAGAAGCATGGAAGTGAGGGAAACTGCATGCAGTCTAGAAGGCAAGCAGACATGAGAAAGAGGTGACAACAGCACATGCAAGAGAGAGAAGGAAAGCATGCAAGAAAGTGCATGCAAGAGGGTAAAAACAATATGCAGCCAAAGCCTGAGATAAAGTGTGTAAAATGGGTGATAAGTAAGAGAGCACAGAAAGGAAAGTGCAAGGCAGTCAAAGCAAAAGGAGGGAGAAAAATGCATGTGAGAAACAGGGAAAATGGAGAGGCAAGAAAACAGGCAAGGGATAAACTGAATGCAGAAAGAAACAGAAGGCAGGGGGTGAAACTGCCAGAGAGAGAAAGGTAAAGGACAACAGACAGGGACAGTGTCACAGGAATGGGAAAGGAAGCCCGCACATGTGAGAAGGTGAATGGGCATGAGATGGACTTAGGGCATACGCACACAGAGAGCAGAACTAACTGGGTGATGGCACACAGAGAAAGAGGAAGAGCGAGGCACAGGGAGAACAGGGAAGCGCATGAATGGGAGAGTAAGAGAGGAGGGCATGCGGGAACGTCCATGTGAGAGAGAATGAGTGCACGAGAAATGAGCAAAAGGAAAAGTGTCAGCGCAAGGAAATCATACAAGAAAGAGAAAAGGCACAGGAAAAAGATATAAGCCATGGGAGAGAGAATGGATGAAAGAAGAAGATGGTTTGCACGCACAAAAGAGAAAAATTGTGACAGAAAAGTGCACAGGAGAGAGAGCAAGCATGCAAGACAGTGCTAGTGTGCAAGAGATGGCAAGTACGCAAGAGACAGCAAAGACTGAGCATGGAGGGGGGAGGAAAAGACTAAGCAAGAGGGAGGGAGAAGTCCATGAGGGAGGGGGAAGAGCAAGCACCAGAGAAAAATGGTATGAGGCAGTTAAAGAGGAAGAGCATCCTCTCCTTCCATCATGGAGAGAAGCTGCACTACAGGGGGAAAGCACGTGGCTGAAGGAATGCAGTGAAGGTGGGGGAACAGGCACAAGAGGGAAGAGAAAAGCATGAGGATGAAAAGGCGCCTGAGAGCGGAAGTGAAGTGGGAGAACCCACAGGAGAAAGGGGATGCGTGCGACAGAGGGAAACCAAGCAGAACAAAGGGGAAAAGTGCATGAGAGAAAGCGTGTAGAAGAGGACATGGAAGCTTGAGGGTAAGAAACTGCAGCAAGACAGGAAAAGCATGTATGAGAGGGTTATCATGCGAGTCTGGGGCAAGGGAAAGTTCACTAAGGAGGAAGGGAATGAGTGCAAGAAAGAGGGACTATACGCAGGACAACACAAGCAAGAAAGGGAAGGGGCTGCATGAGAAGAAAAGTCAGAACACATAAACAGAAGTGAAAGAGTGAGGGGTTTGCATGAAGGGTGGAAACCTGCCCGTGAGAGAGAGGAAGCATGCAGTGCAAAGAGATGGAAAGTGTGTGTGCAAGAGAGAGGAAAACTTGAGGCTGTGAGAAGGAAAGGAGCACGAGAGAGTTAGAAGAGAGAGGGAGGCTGTGTCTGTGAATAAGGGAAGCTACAAAGGGAAGCCACGTTAGGAAAAAAAGGGAGAACGTGCAAAAAATGAGAGAGGGGAAATGTGCTGACAGAGAGGGAAAGCCAAACCAAGAGAGCAAACATAAGCATGAGAGAAGAGGGGAAGTGTGCCAAGAACTCCAAAGACAGTGAGGGAAGCCCAAGATACGTACAAAAGGGAGTGAAGGAAAATGAGAGGTACAGAGAAAAAAAACACACGCAGAAGAGAGATGTGATTCATGCATAAAGAACAAAAAGAGAAGTACAGCATCACAGAAGAACACTTACAGACAGGGAGCATGAGCAAGTGAGACATGCAAGTGGCATATGCAGTTGAGCGAAATCACACACATTCAACACAGCAAAAATTTATTCTGTATTTGTATTTTATGTCTCTTCTTGCTTAGTTTAAAGCCGTTTTTATCCCTTATCCCACCCCTATGCTCCCTGACAAACAGCCCCTTCCCATGGGAAAAGAAGCATGTGCAAGAAAGGGAAAGTGTACGCAGGCAAGAGGAAAGGAAAGCACACACACAAGACTAAGAAAGCAAACCTAGGAGAGTTAAAGAGCAAGAAAAAAAGCACTGGAGAAAAGGCACAAGAAGAAGCAACAGCATGAGATGGACTGCACGAATGGGAGGCGGAGCAGATAAGAGGGAAGTGGACAAGCCAGATCTCACACAACAGTGAGGTTGCAGAAATTAGAAGAAAAGGATGAGAGTGGGCAAGGCAGCCAAAGATCTGTCTGATCTGTTAAGAACCAGGAAAAACAAACAAAAAAGGCATTAAATGTCACCACATTTTCTTCACCTTACTTGCTAGGTGACCACCTTCACCAAGTGGGAGAATCACAGAATCGTAAGGGTTGGAAAGACCACTGAGATGACCTAGTGAACGATCAACCCACGACTGTGACCACTGAACAGAAGAAACAGGCATCAGAGATGCTGGAGAAGGAAAGACCACAAAGACAGAAGGAAATCAGATATAGACAGAATCATAGAACAGCCTGGGGTGCAAGGGACCTGCAAGATCATCTAGTTCCAAGCCCCTGCCACAGACGGGGCATTTCCCACTAGAGCAGGTTGCTCAAAGACCCATCCTGCTCCTGAATACTTTCAGGGAGAGGTGACCACCTCCAGTGTCTCACCATCTTCACAGCAAAGAATTTCTTCTCCCACTACCTAGTCTAAATCTATCCTCTTCCAGTTTAAAGCCATCTCCTCTCGTCCTGTCGCTACCTGTACTTACAAAAAGTAAGTCTGCAAAAGGGAAGCAAAGCAAGGGAGAAATTGCAAGAGCCTGGGAAGGACTCAATGAGAAAGGAGGAAACACGAGGGAAAAGTGCAAGCAAGAGGGGAAGATTTTACGAGCAAGAGGAGAAGCATGGAAGAGGTGAAGGAAGTGAGAGACCATGAGAGAGAAGACTTGATGATCCTTGAGGTCTTTTCCAACCCAAGCTATTCTGTGATGACTCTGTGAACACATGCTAGAGTGTGAGCACCCAAGGGAGATGAGGAAAGCAAAGAGAGGAAAAGCATACCAGAGTAGGAGCACATGGACAAGGGCAGAAACATGCAATAGAAGAAAACACAAGTAGGTGAGGAAATACAAGCAAGAAAAGAAAAATGCAAAAGAGAGAGAGAATGCATGACTGGAAAGCAAGAGGAATAAGGGAGCAGAAGAACAGAAAATGGGAAAATGAAAGAGCGTGACAGGAAAATGCAAGAGATAAACACATTAAGCGACACATAGAAGGCATATCAGAAAACATAGGCGAGAGGGTAAGCTCTTCAAGAGAGCACGAGTCAGAGAGGAAAAGTGTCTAAGAAGGAGATTAACACAGAGGGTAAGTATTTCAGAGAGAGAGAAAACAAGAGCCAAGAGGGAAACGGCACACGAGAGGAAGAGAGAAGAAGGAATGGAAGGAGCAGGGAAGGAACGAGAAAGGGTCATGTGGTGGAGGGAGCAGTAGAGAGAGAAAGAAACAGCAAAGGTACACTGCCAAAGACATGGGAGGGAAAGTGCAAGTAGGTGTGAAAGGGAGCAAGCAAGAAATACTGCTGAAAAACAGCAAAGGGGAAAGCGAGGCTCTGGGAGAGGAAAGTGCAAAAGAAAGAAGGAGCACGTGAGAGCAGAAGTGTGCAAGTGAAATAAGGAAAGCATGAGAGAGGAGTATAGGAGGGAGGAAAAGAAGGAAAATATGGTGGGCAACGTGTGAGGAAAGTGAGAGAAGCGGAGGGAGGGAGGATGAGTGGAGCGGGAGTATGAAAGAGACAAAAGCGGACAGAGCAGTATAAAAGTCACAAAGAAGGGGGGCACGGAGCGTAAGAAGTAGATCGACAGCATGGCCAAGAGGGAAAGTGCATTCAAGAATGTTCCCGAGATGGAAAAGCATGCAGGCAATGGTGAAATGATGACAGACCAGAAGACAGGGAGAATGGAAAAAAAGCAAGCATAATAGGGAAAAGAACGTGCAAAAGAACAGCAAAGCTGGGGGGCTTTAAGGAGAGGTGCAGGGGAAGAACAGAGAGAGGGAACAGGAAGATGGAAAGGAGAAGCAGGAGAAAGGGGAGGAGAGTGTAAAGGGAGAAGTGCAAGGGAGAGGCAAAGTGAGAGAGAAGCAAAGCGAGAGTGAGGCAGGGGAAACGCCAGCCAGAGAAGCAGCAGGAGAGAGGAGAAGAACAGGAGATGGAAGGGAAGGCTCAGGTTACAGACTGAAAGTGTGAGGGGTGGGGAAGAGCAAGAAATGGGGAATTAGAATGTGAGAGAGATTGGAAACCATGTGAGAAAGGAGAAAAGGGAGAAAACGGAAAGGAAGACAGAAGGGAAAAGCAAGGGACAATCAGAACACACAGCAAAGACATACAAGAGAGCAAAAAAAAAAAAAACCAGCTTTGACTTAGGATTTAAAGATCACTTCAGGCAGGAACAGCATCTTTTGCCTGTCTTTTTTTTTGGTCTGCAAATACACATGCCCGATGTTTAATAAATTCTATTATGAAAAGACATTAAACAGCTGCATTATCTCATTTCAGTCATAGTGATGAAAATACACATTTTTCACCACTCATGGCTCAAAAGCAAGACTTCAGGTTTGTGGCTTAAAATTACACCAGGATACAAATATTTCTTGCTCCTAGAGACAGCAGGGCTCCAGTTTGGAGCCTGTGGTGGAACAGAAACCTCCCCTTCATCCACAACATAAGCTGCACGTAACTGCATTAAGGCTCACAGATGCAGAGATGTTTCCAATTCCCGACTCTGCACCACAGCACTGGTGCTGACATGGGCAAACTGCCCAGACTGCTCAAATCATCAGCAAAAGGCATTTTTCAGAAACATAAAAAGCATACAACATTCACGTGTAGCTCATCCCAGGCATCTGTGAATTTGTTCCAAGTGATGGAGCGCCAGGAGAGCACTGGCAGAAGCAGGCAGCAGAATACACCTCACACAACAGCTGAGCTTACCAGGGCTCTCTGGAGGCCACGTACTGCAACCAGACTGCTGCAGCACGGCCACTCAGAGGCCGCCCTCAACACCACATCCACGTAACTCCTGAACATCTCTGAGAGTTTCCACAACCTCTCTGGGCAACCTGTGCCGGTATGCCATCATCTGCACACTACATAAGTGCTTCCCCACACACAGAGAGACCCTGCTGCGTGCAACTTTGTGCCCATTGCCCCCTGTTCACTGAAGAAAGCCAGGCTCTTTTCTCTTTCCACTTTCTTCAGGTATTTCTGAACACTGATGAGATCCTCTGAGTGCTCTCCCACACTCAACAGTTCCAGCTCATACGTGAGATGCTCCAGTCTCTCAGTCACCTTGGTGGTCCTTAGTTAGGACTACCTTCATTAGCTCCACATCTCTTTTGTGCTGAGGAGATCAGAGCTAAACACACTTGTCCAGATATGGCCTCACCAATAGACATGAAGAGACACCAAGCATCCCCCCCCTTGATGAGATGGCAATATTTTGGCTCACGTGGCACAGGACAGCGTTACCCTCCTTAGCAACACTGATGGTTTATGTACAACCAGGTGCTCATCAAGACCCCAAGGTCCTCTTCTGCAAAGCTGCTTCCCATCCAGCCGGCACCCAGCAGCTACTGGTGCTGGACTCCACCTCGTTAACCTTCCTAAGTTTCAGGGATCCACTGAGACTCACGGATGGCTCGTCAGCTGGTATTGGAAGAGCTCTGCTGAAACATCTGCTCCTCGTGGCAGACACCTTTCTCCAAGACTAGCTCATCTATCTCAAGTGCATTTCTGCAGCTTACAGCTTCTAACACTCACATGATACATGAATAACTGACAATTTAGAGAACCTCTATTTACTTTAAAGTACCACTGAAACATTTCAAACTGCGCAACAGCTTATGGTCATAATGGCAGAAAGGGATGGGAGACAATTCCATTTTGCATAAAAGCATTCCATGGCAATCCCTAATGATCTACATCAAGGAAAAACAGATATAAAAGCACTAGCTTGGGAAAACTAACCAGGGTATCTGCTGCATAACAGTCAAGAAGGTCTCCATAGACAGTAATGGAAGTTATCAAAAACTCTCCTCAAAGTCGCAATGATTTTTCTGAAGACATTTCAGTTATATCATTCATCATACAGAAGTGATTAATAACAGGATCTCAAAGGACTCTCTATTATAGAAACTCTTTAGTTTAATAAGTAGCCTTTTTAGGTCCCAGCTGTCACAGATCTGCAAGGGCCAGCTGCTCTGCAAAAGAATGTAAACTGGGAAACAAACATGAACACCGGGCTGGTGACAGCGATGGATTCATCAACATCACTGCCAGCTCTGACACCTTACCAGGAGATGCTTCAGCTCATTAACGTGGACTTCATTCCTTCCATCAGCAGCTGCTCCTGAACTGACCTTCATTCATACAGTGACACCACCAACTTCCAGCACGAGCTGACCTGCAAAACAGAGGAAAAAAAGGGGGATGACAGCCAACACAGAGACAACATGCTTTAATATTCACGAACAAAAAAAGCAACGACAATACAGAAGGGCAGCTGCAACAACACAGCAGGATGTGAAGAAATGGAAATCTGGCCTAACACCGGAGCGGCCCGTGGCCGACTGTCCCCCCCACCCAGCCCGGAGCGGCCTGGTGGCGACCGGCCCCCCCGCCGGCCCGGGGGGGGCCGGGGGGGGGGGGGGGGGGGGGGGGGGGGG